ATAGAATCATTTGGCATTTTTTATAAAAGAATAGTAGAAATATTTTCTGAGTTTCCTGACAGCTGTTTTTCAGAGTTGACTCTACACATGATGTAGCTGATGATGGAGCCAATCTGGATGTTGTTTTAAATAAGAGATGGTTAAACTAGACTTATTTGTTGGGTGAAGAAAATAGATAGATGGCTTTTGATGAAACGGGATTATTTAAATTGTTGTTGTTTTTTGGGACAGGCTCTCACTATGTAACCCTGGTTAGCCTGAAACCACACTATATATGTAGCCCTGGCTAGCCTGAATCTCACTGTGTACCCAACACAGTCTCAGTTTCTTGCTTTCCATGTATTTGTTGTTTAGCGCATCTTGATTATTTCTATTGTCTTGTTTTCCTAGAGGTTTGTGGTATTTTCTTTGCTTTAAAAATCATGCAATTACATCTTTAACACGCTATCCCAATTTAGTCATCAAACCATATCTCTCCTAAAATTGACCAAGAGTCCTACACTGTGGTGGAAGTCACATTAACATGGAGGTGAGGTGGGTCTGCAGTGGTGTGCTGAGCTGGCTTGCTGCTGTGAACAATTTTTTCCCAGTTCCACAATGTGTGATCACATCACTCATTAAAAAAATGGCCATGCTGAGGTCACTTAGATTACAAAAACTAGAATACTCAATAGACGAGAGCCTTCCTGCTCCCTAGCACGAGATAGGGGTAAGTAGATGTAGGCAGACAAGTAGATGTAGGTGGACAAGTAATTTTCCCTAAGAGGGACTAACTAATACATGGCGAGCACAGATTCCACTAGGCTGTGGAAAACTTGATGGATTGCCCAGTGGCTGTGTGAGGATTCAAGAGCAGCCATTAGGCTAGAGCAGCACTAGTTGTGTAAAAAGAAAGCACAAAACCCATCTTTGATTTTCAGAGTGCAATCAAATAAGGTTGTACTCTAGATACTTGATTCAGTCAAACTGAAAAGGAAACTGGAGATTCAAAACTGTGTGTCAGAGGTTGGAAAATCCCACACAAGTAAGGCTGAATGCCAGGCTGATGCCTAAAGGAATAAGTCCAAACTCCCCTGCACATGCTCTCAACAGCTGCATGACTGCATTCTAGTCTTTTCCATAAATGTTACACTTCTGGGTGTTGGCGGTCTACTGAAATTCTAACAAGGAAATTGGCCTTTCCAGTCATGTGGAAGTGGGTCCTGAGTGTCACTCACTTCTGCAGCCCTTCGCTGCTTGGTTAGAAGAGTACACAAAACACTGAGTGCTCTGCCCTTCCCTCCAGGAGTGTTCTATGGAGAGCCCATTTTCTGAAAGGCCAGCTTGTATTGGCTTACCTCTACTATCCATGTGACTTGAAAGCTCCTTGAGAACTAGAAGGAAACAAAGAGATAGGTGTCAACACAGGCATCCGTCCTAGCTGGCAAGGGTCCAGGGCTTTCAGAGCAGCCGAGAAACCGAGGTTTACCTGCAGCTGTGAGGTTAAACTCAGTGGTGGCTTTTCCATAACTGTTCTTGATGCAGCAGTCATAGAGACCCTGGTCCTTCTGACCAGCTCGGGCAATGGCCAAGGAAACACTGGAGTTGTCCCCTGCACTGGAATAGGGGACATTAACATTCATATTTTTCGTCATTCTAAAGTTCTAATGCTATCAAAGAGGAATGAGCTCATGTCTTCCTGCTCTGGTGTTTTCAGTCAATGGGCTGAGAGATTAGATGGCCCCAACCACCTCTTCAAATAATGTGTTTATAGAGGGGGATCACTGCATTGGGGTTAACACTCTTATTTCAACATGCAACATGAATACACAGAAACATTCTGGAGGGTTCCCTGATACCAGTAGAGCCAGGAATCGAAATGGTGAACTTTGGGGAGCTGTTGTTAGCATAGCTTAGAATTCACCTTAATTTTGTCACTAATCCAGGTATCCTGTGCATGAGGGAGATCTGATAATTCCGAACCCAAATCTAAACACAGACACAATAAGGGACAGGAGAAAGAAAACGAATTTATAACTGAGAGCTCCCCCTTCAGGGTGATGTTTGTTTTGAGATGGGTATCTCACTATGTTGGTCTAGCAATCCTCTTGCTTCAGCCTCCTGTGTTCAGCTTTTTCGGGGCACTTTTAAAATAGTGTCCTCCTTACGGAAGATGTCTGTTCTATCTACCTGCCCAATATTTCTAAGTTCCAGACTTTGTACCATGAATACAAAGACAGTGTTATGGATAAAGATGATGATGATGACAATGATGGTGATGATGATGATGACAACTAATGTATTTATACTGATATCAGGCAAACGTTGAATCACTTGAACATCTTCATGTCATCCTCACAATAACAATGAGAGACCCATAATTTCTGTCCTCAGTTCACAGACACTATGAACTTTTCTCTAATTTTATGTGTATGAGTATATTGCCTGCATATGTGTGTGTGCACTTGTGTCCTACAATGCCCAGGGAGGTCAAAAGAAGGCTGATTCCTTAAGTAAATTTTGATTCTTATCCTCAAGTCAGAGATAAATATATTGATAGAGAGCTGCAATTTTTATTCAAAAAAAAATCTCAAAAAACTTAACTTTGAAGCAAAACCATATTCAAATATTGTTGTAGCGTTCTGCATAGTGAGACTCAGCTACACATCAAGACTGTGTACAATGTACCTTTCAGTTTAGGCTCATTTCATAGTTTGACAATAACATTTATTATCAGTTGTATTGTTCAACAGAAGTATTTGCTATTTTCTATTTTTTCAATAGACCTCGTCTTTGGTTTACACATGCCCGTTCAGGAATGTACCTGTGGTTTAAAATAAGGTCTACTAAATCATAATACTTTCTCCATTGATTGGGGCCTCTGAACATATCCTGATGGATGGTTAAAACTGGACACAAACAGGTCCACGTGTAAGGAGACTTCCTGGCTGTGAAGTGAAATGCTGAGTGAGTACCAGAGACTGGTGGGATGTCCTTCTGCAGAGATTTACAGAGCAGCACAGTCCTTCTGGTCATGCAAAAGGGGTAGTCAAGATCGCCCTGAACTGCTGGGGCTAAAATGAAAGAAACTGTCCCATGAGCATCTTCCTTGAAGCCCAGCAATTCTTTGATTCTTGGTTTAGATTCAGGAAGCCCCCATCTATCTTGCTGTTCCCCCTACCACCCTACTTTCTTCTTGGGGAAAAGACTGAGGATCAGAAGGGCCTGGATTCCAATCCTGAGGCTCATCTCAGACATGTTACTTAGTCTCACCCTCAGCTTCCTGTGTTAAAGCTGGAAAGAGCAAGATCACTTGTTGACTGTGCCATCAGGAGCAACTGGCACCGGGCATGTGAATGTCTAACAAAAGACCTTGCTTTACGAATGTTCATGAGCTTGAGGGTAGGGTTCAGTAACGTTGATGGGCTTTCCCCACATAAGAAAACCTCTTCTTTATGTTCCAAAAAGGACTTCTACTTCCTCATTCTGGGGATTCAATGGTGGGGAAGAGAGGCTCAGTTCTTGCCCTGGAGGGTCTTCTGGTCTGGGAGGAGATGGACAAACACAAAATGCCAACGTCACTGTGGAAAGTGAAAGGGGATCTTGTACCTTCTGAACCAGGAGAGGAAAGCTCAGTTTTTCTATCCTGTATCCTACAAGGAAGACATCTTTTTACCTTTAGGACAGCATGGCCAAATGCAGGCAGGGCTGAATAGCAGTGGTGCTTAGCTGTGAAGAAGCGTACACCAAGAATGTGATCACAATATCCCTGCCAAGAGCAAACCTGGCTGGAGGGAGGGGCCCAACCTAGAGACTTATCTGAGAGCTTCCATCACGCATTCCCAAGGACCCAGGAGCAGTTGGCAGTACCCACACGGCACAGCACTCAATCTGGGCTGAGTAGTCCTCAGCTTTCCCTCCCCATGGTCATCCAGTGGGAATTTGCCTTCTGCAACATCCAGTTCTTCCTTGTCTGGGGTCCAGCAGGAACTGATGTTACCTGCACTCTAAAACCTTGCCCAGCTGTCAGTCAGGTCACTTTATGAAGACAATGACTCTTTCAAAAGGCCAAGACACTCCCAGGTGCCTATTTTCCCAGAGTAGAGAGTGCGTCCTTTGGCCAAAAAGGTCTCGAGGGCCACAGTAGCACCTGAGAGTGCCAACTTGAAAACTCCATAGAGCCAAGACACTTCACTGCCACATGAAGACACAGTGCATGCCACCATATACTTCTTTGCAGTGTCCTCAGAATCTACCACTATTGTCCTGGCCATAATAAAGTGTTATGACTCTAACTTCCAAACTGTGGCCTGTTAAAGAAAGTATCTAAAACTTGGACAGGGGCAAGAGGTGATTGCATGCCCTCGGTAGGTCACCATTTAACAGGCTCACCAAAGGGTTACTTTGCCTGAAAGAGATTGCCTCCAGGCTTGCCTTTGCTATTTATTACCTACTTAGAACACATTCAACTCTATGTAGTGGTATGTGCCTGTAGTGTCAGCTATTAGGGAGCTTGAACCAGAAGGACTGTGAGTTCAGGGTTAGCTAAAGAAACTACTAAGGCACCGCCTCAAAAGACCAAATCAACCAACCTCCAAAATTGTGAGCCAAAATAAACCTTCTTTACAAGTTAATCATTTCAGGTTATTTCCCTGGAATGATGGAACAAGGCAGAGAGCTACTTCAAGGATGGATATATACAATGAAATATTCAGCTGAAAGTAAGGGTAAGAGGAATCAATAAGCAGTTGAAAAACCACCTGAAATCATGTAAATGATCTGTAAATGGACAGGGAGTCCCAAATTTTCTCAAGTGGTGGTGAGGATAAAGCAAATTGGTCCAACTAAGCTATTGCTAAGAAACGAAGGAAACATTACAAAGGATTTGAAGACCTTGAATGCCTACCAATGACATGTGCCCCCTAGAGGAAGGTGGGGCTTTTTAACTATTCCTTAAATGAGACCTGGAAAACTCAAAACACTAATTCTGCTGAGCTTAGGACAAGAATAATTAATTGAAAAATGCTGAAAATTATGGTTAATTGTTCTTGGTTGAAAACTTCAGAAAATAATTAAAATGAACAATTAGTACTTTTAAAATAAAGCTCTAGGGACCCTCCTTGATTTAAAAATCAATCCACTTTTCCACCATTATAATTCTTTTCAAGCCATGCATAAGACAGGCAGCGTAATGATAATGTGTTAGACTAAGTGGTTATTATATCAATCACATCCATTTAGATTTCTGGAGTGATGTTAATAGAACTGAAACTATAACCCAATTCTTCCACAAGTGCATTTGAGAAATAATTACCAGACATGTTCTAAGCAGGTGTATTCCATTGAATTACACAGAGACTCTCAGATTTTCCTTTTCAGTCTATTTCTGGTAAGAATAAAGAGCTAGGAACATCTTCAAGAACTCAGGGAGCTGAACTGGGGCCTCTCTTGGCATATGTAAGCTTCTGGGAAGTGCATGAACTATGTTGATTTCCACTGGTTTGTTTCTAGACTGTGTCAGATGAAACTTGAGTTCATCCAGCAGTTCCTCTGGACAAGCATCCATTCATTTCCAGGGATGGTTTAGGGAGCTGATGCAGGTTTGTCCCATTTGAGGTGTTCTTGGCAATGATTCTCACTCTTACCTGCTCCTCCGACTCCTTTAATAGCCTAAGGACCCAGAAATAAACTGTTCTTCCTGTCTTAAGAGTGGTTGCTTGTCTTCCTCAGATTAATGGGTATTTATGAAACAGAAAATACCTATAAGCAAAAGTCCCATTTCAACAGAAGAGAGTTTTTAAAAATTTAGGTCCACAGAACCTCAAACTGTATTTTTAGTCCATGTATCCTGATCTTTAAAACTGTAAGGAGAGATTCTGTGACTTCCTAAGAATACTCAGGTCAAAGGTGGCAGAGCTGAAGCAAGAACCTGCCAGCATGCTCCCTATCCAGACACCTGGGCTCCCTTCTTCCTGTAGGATATTGTGTTAGCCTTTCTTCACTGTGACAGAAATACCTAACACAACGATTTTAAAAAGAGAAAAGAGCTGGGTATGGTGGGCACAAGCCTTTAGTTCCAGCACTTGTGAGTCAGAAGCAGGTGGATTTCTGTGAGTTCAAAGCTAGTCATGTCTACATAGCAAGGCTGGAGCTACATAGTGAGATCCTGACTCAAAACAAATAAGCCCTCCAAAACAGACAAGAAGAGGAAAGAGTTATTTTGGCTCCTGGTTTCAGAGGCTTCAGGCTATGGTCACTTGACTCCATGTTTCTGGGCTTGTGGTAAGTCAGTGTATCATGGCAGAGGGCATGGAGGATGAAAGCTGCTCGCCAGGAAGTAAGAAGAGAGACAGGAAAGGGCCAAGGGCAGGATGTCCTCTTCAAAGGCACACCCAGGTGACCTGCTTCCTCCAACCTGGCCCCACCTAGTTTCCATCACCTCCCCATAACACTGTCAAATTATGCCTCCATCAGTGAATTAACTAATAGCCAGTAAGGTCAGAATCTTCATGATCTAATTTGTTCCCCAAAGCTCATCAGCTGTCAATCAAGCCACTGGCCCATGAGCTTTGGGAGGGGGTGGTACAGGGATATTTCATATCCAAACCAGCAGACCCTGGACACAGAATCTCTGCTTCATCTTGCCTCTCACTTCTTATTTATTATTTTCTTTTACAACTACACTAACAAGTAAACAACAATTGTGAAAAGTGGGCAATGACAAATATCCCACCTTCTCTGCACTTGAGCTATTGACTTTGAATCTTTTGTCCACCAGATGGTAGAGTCTTCATGAATTTCTGCAAACTGGCAGCTCAACTTTACATTTCCAGAGTGGTCAGGGGACATCTCTGCTTGGATCTTTTTCAATAATACTGGAGCTGAAAACAGATTTGCAAGTTAGTGTAGGCAAAAGACCATTTCATCTCATTTAATTCTCTAAAGCAAACCGGAGATGGAGAATGTTCCCAACTTGTGACTGAACCAACTAAACAGAAGAGATGTGGCAGGTTTAACATAAAGAGTGAAAACAAGCAAACCACTCCAACAGAAAGCTCTCGCTTTTCATTACTTAAAATTTCCGAGGTAGATAACGGTCAAAGCAAGATATAAATTGACAGTATTTTCATTTTTTAAGGGAAGAAGGGTCCTAAAGATTGCAGAGACCTGACCCAGAGGACTTGAGTCAAATAAAGAGGTCTTTAAATAATTACCTGGTCAAAATCAGAGCTGGTGACTAGGGAATAGAATAAAATTTGGAGTATTCCGGCAATTGTGGTTAAATCCCCAATATGTGAAAGGCAATTCAATAATAAAATGATTTATTCATTTTTTAAGGGAAGAAGGGTCCTAAAGATTGCAGAGACCTGACCCAGAGGACTTGAGTCAAATAAAGAGGTCTTTAAATAATTACCTGGTCAAAATCAGAGCTGGTGACTAGGGAATAGAATAAAATTTGGAGTATTCCGGCAATTGTGGTTAAATCCCCAATATGTGAAAGGCAATTCAATAATAAAATGATTTATTGAATACTACACACACACACACACACACACACACACACACACAAACACACACCCTGGCAATTGTGGTTAAATCCCCAATATGTGAAAGGCAATTCAATAATAAAATGATTTATTGAATACTACACACACACACACACACACACACACACACACACACACACACCCTTCATAATTGTATGCTGAAGATGGCCTGGGTTAGAGTAATGTACCTGACATCAACCTCACTGGCAAAAGAGATGTCTGTCTGAATGAAACAGAAACCACAGGGAAATGACTCCTAAGGGTTGGATCGAAATGCTGTGTTGCCTTTGAATCAAACCAGAGGTGAGAGCTTGGCCTGAAGGGCAAGTATGTAATTGGTCAGGGTAGCCACTGGGCGGCAGCATAGACATTAAAACAAGATGAGAACAACCAGCCCAGCCAAGACTCAGAGCGGTTGATTAGGCCCTATCATTACAGGAAATGCAGCCACTTTACTACAGTCCAAGTTCCAGAGCTCCACAGCTTTGGTAATACAAAATATATCACCATAAAACATTATACAATCCATAGGCAAGCCAAAAGCATCATTGCCGAGGCTCCATTTACTCTGTTGTTGCTTCAAATACTACTAGAGTAAAATAGTGCTGCATTTAATGAGTTTCCAATTTCTCCTTGATTGCAGCAAATATTTAGATATCACAATGAAACTTAAAACTTGACTCTGGGAACAAATGATACGAAATGTTGGAGAGGATGTGGGGAAAGGGGAACACTCATCCACTGCTGGTGGGGCTGCAAACTTGTTCAACTCCTATGGAAAGTAGTGTGGAGAACTTTTAAAAAAACTACAAATGACATAAAATTGAATGAGTTTTTAACCCTCAAAAGGGATCTCCATTTCATTCTAAAATATACTGTTTCTTACAGAAAGACTCATTGTTTTTGCTACTAACACTGGGATGTTGGCGTGTCAGTCTCTAATATGTATGTATCTGATTATTACTAGTCATAATCATTTGCACTCAGATCCTTGGCGCCTGTGTATGTCTATAAAGTTATCAGGTAGATTTCAATGGTAATGTTTATCACCTCTACTGATTAACATGACGTAAACTTTTATGCTTCCTCCTCAAATATAATACATTTTTTATTTGTTGATTTTTTTCTGTGTGTGTAATTTTATGTCTTACAGGGCTTATACTGAGTTCAATATTGTATAACTGTATTGATTCAGTGAACCTAGAAATTTTATAGCCACTTTTGAAGGAGCTGTGTCTTTGCTCTGGAAACTGTTATTGGGCATGTTACAGCTGTAATGATATGCTTCTTCTAAAAAAAAAAAAACAATATTGAAAAAAAAAAACTACAAATGAACCTACCATTTGACCCAGTTATACCACTCCTTGGCATATACCCAAAGAACTCATCCTATTGCAGAGACACTTGTACATCCATGTTTGTTGCTGCTCTTTTCACAATAGCTAAGAGATGGAAGCAACCTAAGTGCCCCTCAATTGATGAGTGGATAATGAAAACGTGGTTCATTTCATTATCATGATGGAGTTTTACTCAGCAGTAAATAAAGATGAACTCATGAAATT